ATCATTATTAGTAATATTAATGCTCAATTATGAGCACATATGAGGATCTCTTGACTATGTGTGGTATTCCAAAGTAGTCCAAAATTTAAATGATCATCATGAGATAAAAATGTCTGAATCTCCTAATTGCATCAACCAAATGTGCATTGGCTAGCATGAACTGATTGTGCTTTCATATAAGATGGTCGAGTGAGACTGAGATGGCTCCTCTCACTTGCTCAAATTTCCATCAGAAAATTAAAGTTGCTTTGTAGACTCATGAGAGAATGGAGGCTTTTTAAATAACGTCCTAGTGTCACATGCATGCAATAATGCATTCATGTATACATATACACACAGTTTCTAGACATCAGGTTCTACTTTTACCATGCACTATGCTAAGTGCTTCCTTAAAAATAAACTCATTTTATACTCGCAGCAGTCCTGCAAGCTACTCATTACTCCCCTTAATTTATACTGAAATAACTGAAACTTCTATAAGAGAGAGGCTGAGATTCAAGCTAGTCAGCCTCCAAGGAATAATTTTTTTCCCTATCACAAAAATAAAATAAATGAATAAATGAATAAAACCCTCTACAGTGAGTCTTCCATTATCCAGTCTGTTACAAAGATTCAGGAAGACAATGGGGACTAAGAGAGTTTTCTGAATCCATGACAGCCACTTGATCAGAAGAGGGGAATGCACTGTCTTTGAAGCAGGATCTTATTTGGGGACAATATAATAGAACAGGTTAGAGAATATTAGAATTCTTAAAGCAATCTCTTACACATAACAGTGAAAGGTCAAATGTGATCTTTCATACAAAGAATATGAATTCAATCCTCAAAGCTCTGAGCTGGTATTAACCATCAAGGAGATATGAAGAGCAGCAATTGATTTTTTCGTTTCCTTTTTAATAATCAGGGCACATATTCACAACCAGTAGAAACAAGACTACCTACCACTTTGTATTTTCCTCGTGCCTATCTCTCAGCTTCAAGAACTTAATAGGTTTTTAAAATTATAATTACTCCTCTTACTCTCTCTGGGATCTAGGGCCTTGGTATCATCCCAAATCCACAAAATGTTACCAGAGGCAGCTTGAAAACTTGTGGTATTTGGATAAAGCCTAAGTAATTGAGGCAGCCTTTAGCATGGTGATTAATAGCCCTGAAACTAGGCAGATCTGATTCTTAATCCAATCTCTGCTTTTCAGTGTTTAACAAGTTTCTAAACATGCTTGTGCCTTGTCTTCCATATCATTAAATGGAGTAATAATAGATAATACTTCATCAGGTTATTGTGAAGATTAAGGGAGTTAACAAGTGTGAAGTGCTTAGCAGATTTCTGGTTTATACCATGAATGCTCAGTGGGTGTTACTGTGTGATCATCATTACAATAATAAAATAATTTGTAGCAAAACATCCATACTTCCAATTAAAAGCATTACTCTAGTCAGAATTCTTGCAACATTACAGATGTACCTGTTATTTGCATGAATGTAAATTTTTGTGTGAAAAAGTACATTTTCTCTCCGTGCACCCAAAGTATTAATTATTAAAAGTAATTAATTACTACAGAATTCTTATTGAGCTGAAACATAAAATGCCCAATGGCAATACCTAATGTTTTAAAAATGACTCTTGTTAAGATAACTGTCATATTCAATTCATAATTCTTTTTCAACCTTTTAATGAATCATTGAGAATGGTTAACATGAGGCTTTCTTTTGCTTCATAAATATTACTTTTTTTTAAAAAAATAAGCTTCCAAAACCTCCTTTTAGGCAAAGCGTGAAAGAGAACTTTGAATAACTAGTAAGTCAATAATAGAATTACGTGCTTTTAATTTACTAATTCCAGCATAGTTAACATACAGTTTTGTATTAGTTTCAGGTGCACAATATAGTGACCCAACAATTTATACATTACTCAATGCTCATCATGACAAGAGTACTCTTGAATCCTTTTCACCTATTTCACCTATCTCTCCACCAACCTCCTGTCTGGTAACCTTTTGTGTATTCTCTATAGTCAAGAGTCTGTTTCTTGGTTTGTCTCCTTTTCCTTTGTTCATTTGTTTTGTTTCTTAAATACCATATAAGTGAAATCTTATGGTATTTGTCTTTCTCTGATAAACTTACTTAGCTTAGCATTATACTCTTTAGTTCCATCCACATGGTCACAAATGGCAACATGCCCTTTTTTATGACTGAATAATATTCCATTATATATTTATATGTATGTACGTGTGTATGTATGTATGCACGTGTGTGGTTTATGTATGCATATGTATATATATGTATGTATGTATGAATCTTATTTATCCACTAATCTGTCCATAGATACCTGGGGTGCTTATATAATTTTGCTATTGTAAATAATGCTGCAATAAACATAGCATGCATTGTAAATGTTACAATAATGTCTGTATCCTTTGACTCAGTACTTTTTTATTTTAGGGGTATATACCAGCTCGGATGATTAATGGATCATAGGGAAGTTCTATTTTTTTAACAATTCTTGAACATATAACTACTTAGTTATTAGTCAGATGAGTGTGTGGTTAGATGGCTGGCTGAATGACTGGATGGATGAAGTAGCATGAGACAGTGGAAAATGTACCCTGCTTTACCATTGCTTGATTTTCTAGAACTAATGAAGTTTCTGAACATCAGTTGCCTCTTCTAGCTGTTAGATTTAGATTATGTGATACTTTCCTTACTAGTCTACTAGTCTGAGCCCTTGCCCTCCAGTCTTCTGGTACATACAGCTAGACCAACTCTGCTACTTCTCCATGGACAATTCAACTTCACACTAGAGAACAGGCCCACCTCACACTGGGTCATATCATGGGCCACTGGATTATGGTTCTTTTACTAAAAGTAAGCTCTAGTACCAACCAGTTTCCAATTTTGCCAAAGATGCATAATAAACCTTAATTTTTTCTTTTCCTCTGTTATTCCTCTAGTCCTATCCAACTCTTGGCTTATATTCTCCTATGCCTGAGATTTACCTTCTCAGGTCTCAGCTTCCCCACTTCTGACCCCCAATCACTTGTTGTTAAGTTTATGCTCTTACTTCTGGATTTGATAGACACTCTGGATTGTGAACTCTGTGCTATGCTAATGGTATTTATATCCCGCGTGTGTATTCCTCCTCTCTTAATAAGGGAACTAGAATATGCACTGGGAAATATCATTAATCCCTTACAAGGAAGGAAGATGGGGATAGCAGCACTATTTCATGGCAAGAGAAATGAAGCAAGAAATGGGGTATGCAATTTAGTCTGATGATAGTGAAATGTGAATATTCACAGGAAATGGCTAAAATGTTGGTAGATCTCTCTTATAATTACAAAATTTTGCACTGAAATTCATTTAATGTCATAATTAAAGGGTTTTTAGAAATAAATGCTGTGTAGATGAGGATACCAAGAGTAACTGCAGAAGCCTCACCCCTAGTCATTGAGCTGTTGTTATAAAATCTTCCACATAGGGGCACTTGGGTGGCTCAGTCAGTTAAGGGTCTGCCTTTGACTCCGGTCATCATGATTTCATGGTTCATGGTTTGAGCCCCACATCAGGCTTTGTGCTGACAGCCTGGAGCCTGCTGTAGATTCTGTGTCTCCCTCTTTCTCTCTGCCCCTCCCCTGTTCATGCTCTGTCTCTTAAAAATAAATAAACATTTAAAAAATCTTCCACATAATCAAGAATAACATGAGAGCATATTTTTAGCTCCCCCGAATTCTCAATTGTCACCCACCTCCAGTTATTGAAGGTAAGGCACTTCTGGGCACTGAGGCAGAGGTTTTCCATGTCCAAGGCACAGGGTGACATTTCTAAGGCTGTTATTCTAATGTCATGATAGTATAAGAAAAACTGTGAGTAAACCTAAGTAGTCTCTAGTCCCAGTCTTTGAAATTAGACAGGTCATGTAAAGGACACGTAAAATGATCCTTGGAGAAAGATGGGATGAGAAATAATGGTTGCCTCTAACTGTAAGCCTAGTTCAAAAGACTGAGCTCTAACTCAATGTTAAACCTCTGTCTCAATTCTCAAGTGACTACATTAACAAGCCATTATTTCAATTCTTTGAGCAACTGGGTATTTGTCCTGAAATTGAAGTCCATGTTCTCATTACTGGATACTTCCTGTCAGTAGTTTTCATATCCCCCATTAGCCTAGAATGTAACCAAATTGCTACTTTAATTCTCTTACATTGATAGTCCAGATATTTGGTCTAGTTTTGTTGTTTGCTAATGGTACTTTTGTTCTGCTTGCTTTTGTGCCATGTTGTGTTAGCCTCTTATATTTGGGCTTGAATCATTATGTCCCTGTGTCTAAATTCATTGCTCCATCACTTTGCCCAATGCTGTGACAATCTGCCTGCATTCCCTGTGTTTGCTTTCTTACCTGGTCAGCAATGGTCCTGTGATTCAGGTTTATGGCCTGATTTCTTTCTATACAGGGTTAGTCATTTTAGAGAAACAGAACTAAAACTCATCCTTTATTTTGTCTCTTCATTCTTTTTTTAAAGTTTATTTATTTATTTTTAAGAGAGAGAGTGTGTGTAAGAGTGTGACAGGGGCAGAAAGAGAGAGGAACAGAGAATTTGAATCAGGCTCTACACTGACAGCGGAGAGCCCAATGTGGGGCTTGAGCTCACAAACTGAGAGATCATGACCTGAGCCAAAGGTAGACACTTAACTGACTGAGCCACCCTAGCACCCCCTGTTTCTATATTCTTTATATGTATTTATTTGGTACCCTCTATGTGCCAGTCATTCTTTTATTTAGGCACTGGGATAATAGAGGCCTTTGCGGCATGGCAGGAAGCATGAATATGGAAACTACTACCATCCATTAACTTATGTAATGCATACTAGTTAACTCTGGGCTAGACAGTGTTTGGCATTGTGGACACAAAATTGAATAAAACAGTTTCTGCCCTCAAAGGATGTATGGGCATAGACATGAAAGCAGATAATTTAATATCATGTGACTTGGTCTGATTATAGAATTAAAGGGGGTAATACAGGAGCTTGGGTTCATGCAATATGACACTGATGAGGTAGGAAGGAGCTTGGATGGTACATCAAGAGGACTGGCCTTGAGGGAGATGGCAAACATCTTGTTTATTAACGAGGGAGAGAGGCATAAATTATTTGAATTCAAATCTCCTCTCTACTTACTTAGTGTGATTCTAAGTGCTGGTTGATACATCTGTCAAGTGTAGATTAAAATAGAACTTATTTTTATAGGGTTGGTGTGAGGATTAAGTGAGATAATTCACCACATACTTAGCTTACTACATGGCACATAGCTTATGCTCAATAAGCATTCATCACTATCAATCTATCGGCAATAAGAGAATTCAAGAGGATTGTATTATTATACTTCTTAAATTGAAGTGTAATTTTCACCTGACACTGTGATAGTTTCAGGTGTACAGCATGATTGAACAACTCTCTGTATATGCTCACCGCAAGTATAGCTACCATGTGTCACCATGCAATCTGTTACAATACCACTGACTATATTCTCTATGCTCAGAGGATTTTAAACAGGGTAGTGATGTGGCCAAAACTCTGTTTGTGATAGAGCATAGTCAAAATTATAAAGTAATAGTTTTGTAAAATATGTGTTGAACCCATTGGCAATGTCTGTTGTAGGAGAAGCTTAGCCTAGAGTTAGAGACTGCAGATAAATATGACTCTAGCTATAGTATGAGTGGAGGTCACCCACAGAGACTATGGAATGGCTAGATCAGTAGCTGAAGACGGAATTGTGTGAAACACAGAAATGTAAGGGGTAATATCAGAAGAAGAAATGTTTATGAATGTTCATGGATATGTTTGGTAACAAGCAATGAAATGGAGGCTTTGTCCTTCCGATTTAGCTATAGGAAAGCATTCCAGAGGGACAAAAGAGCTGGGTGTTGGGAACAGAGTAGGAGCTCATCAATTTGACAAGGTGGGAATAGGCACTGTATGCAGAGAATAGCAAGTCCCAGCCCTGACAGGTTCAGTGAGGCTAAAATACATGAAGCAGTAAGTGAATGATATAAAACAATGTAATGAATGTCCCAATAAAATATTATAGTAGAGAGGCCTTGTAGTAATGGGTGCTGCAAGGACATAGTGGCGGCTTGTGTTTGAAATCAGCCATTGGATTGGCAGAGGAAATGGTGGTGAGTTTTTCAGTCAGGTGAGTCAGCAGAACCAACCTGGAAATGGGTGACAAGAAAGAGAATGACCAGGATGCAACTGTGGGCTTCTTTGGGGAAGTTCATTCTGTGTTTGTTGATAACTTAGGAATGAGACTGAGTTGAAAGTTATTTCCATAATGCCATGAATTCCAAAAAAATAAAAATAAAAATAAAAATAACAAGCCTCACCATATTCTTTGAGTCACAGTAAATTTAAATAGCAAGTTGATTAATGTGAGATCTGGTTATGCTATGAGAGAGAAATATAACCAATATTTTTGCCTTCTTTAAAGGATTTTCCAGAAAAGGAGAAGTCTACAGCAAAGGCCCTGGAAGATGTAAAGGCAAACTTTTATTGTGAATTATGTGACAAGCAGTATCACAAGCACCAGGAATTTGACAATCATATTAATTCTTACGATCACGCTCATAAGCAGGTAAGCCCAAGTGGGAAAAATCTTTCTTATTCCTAGAATTGTACCTTCAGAACAGATTGTATGTATTTAGCTTTAGTTATTGTCATCTAAATGCTGAGGTGAGTCTATTTTTTTTTCATGAAAGGTTGTTTTCTGTTTAAATGTTAGGTGAAATATTTTTTTTTCCCTAGAAGTCACATAAAACTGTAGGTGAATTTAAAGATGATCTAAAAGCAGACTGATATTTATTTTAGAATTACACATATGGGGAAAACAGAACCCCGTAAAAAGAGTGACCTATTCAAACCACTTAACTAGTCAGTGGCAAAAACAGAGCACTGGACAGAATCTAATATAGGGTTCTTTCAACACTTCTGAGGTTTAGCAAAAACTAGCACTGTAGGAAAACAATTCTCATTAAAAGGTAACATTTTCCAAAGAATACCCTCTCAGGAGAGTCAAAGTGGTTGCTTAATAAATGGACCATTGCAAACAAATAAACAAAAACTCAAAGAGGCTGGAGAAGTAATTCAGATAGAAACATTTCATTTTTTTTCTTAGAAGGCTATATATATATATACACACACACATATATATGTATATATATATATATATATATATATATATATATACAGTATCAGTTTACATATTCTATACATGGCTGTTATTATCCTCTATTTCCATCTCTCAGGTGCACACTCCTGATGCCAAATGGTTCTGATATCTTGGAATGTGTGGGGAACTCTTGTATAATCTAGACCTAAAATATTTATTCAGACTAAACAACAATAAAAATTTTGACTAACATCCCTAGTATTTACTGAGTGCATAAAAAATATTTGGCTTTGAGGAATGCAAGGTTCAGTTTCTATCTTTAAAGATGTGGCATATATCCATAATTTATTGTATTTCTCAGACAAGAACAAGGACATGGGATAAATTGTTTTAGGACTGTGATTCCCAAATCTTAGTGTGCATAATAATCACTTTGGAATACTTGAAGGAGAATCACTAGATTCTCCTTCAAGTATTCTGATTCAGTAATTCTGAGTGGGGCCCAGGAACTTGCATCTTAAAATGATTAAAATGGAAAATTTCAAACATACTTAAAAATGAACTATGTTGAACTACGTCCAACTCCAACTGCAATCTTGTTTCCTTTTATACCACCACCACTCACCCACCCCTCACCTGCCAACACTGTGTATTATTGTAAAGCAAAATACACAAGTCATATTATTTCATCTGAAAATATTTCAAGATGTATAATGGTGCTTAAACAGCATATCCATTGTCGTACCTAAAAAGTAGCAGCAATATCTTAATATTAGTTAGTAATCTTGTTTCTTGTCACATAAATGATTTTTAAATTTGTGTTTACTGAAATAAGGATGCAAAATATCCATAACTGGAGTACCTAGGTGGCTCAGTCCATTAAGTTACTGACTCTTGATTTCAGCTCGGGTCATGATCTCAGGGTCTACTGATTGTGATCAAGCCCCATGCTGGGCATGGAGCCTATTTACGATTCTGTCTTCCTCTTCTGCCCCTCCCCCACTTGTGCGCGCGCGCACACACACACACACACACACACACACACACACACACATCAATACTTTTAGGTGACACATCTTTCAGTTTCTTAAAGTCCTAAAGTTTCTTAACTATGGGTTTTTCATTCCCTATTTACATTTTACTTCTTGCAATTTATCTACTGAAAAAGGAGACATTTTCAGATTTTGCTAAATGTAATCCAGTACTGTCTTTTCTCATTTTCTCTGTCTTCTGTATTTCTTCTAAAGTGTTACATATAAAGATCTGGACAAGTTCAAGTTCCTACTTTTTCTCTTGGCATAAATAGAAGGCACATTGTATCCTTCTGTAAAGAGGCATATGATATCTACTTGTTTCTATTTTTATGACTTTCAGTTTGAGAAATGGGTTTAGATACTACCTGTTTGATCCATCCATCACTAAGTACCTTACTTTTTTCCACTAATGCTTTTTGTAGCCATAGATGATCATTTGCTTAAATCTGTTACTTCATTTAGAGTTGTGAAATGATTATTCTAATTCTGTCATCCATTCATCATTTATTAAATGGAATATGTCTATAAAGAGAAATTCCCCATAAGCCTCACTCCCAGAGGATTTTATGTAGGTGGTCTTCAGGTAAGATACATACATACATATTACATACATATACGCATATACACACATATATACATACATATACATATATACATATACATATACATGATTTAGAGAAGTAAGTAACCAGACAAGGTTCTCATGGTATAGCTACATTTGATCTGTGCTTTAAACATGTAGAAGTAGATACTGAAATTGAGGCTGAAGGTAGGATAGCATTCTTGACAGTAGAAACAGAAGAATCTAAGGTGAGGAAATAGAAGGGCACAGGACATCTTTTTAAAACTATAGGCAGTATTGGACTACTAATAGGACGAATTCTCCATACCTGCTCTACGTGCCACAGCATCCCTTGTACTCTGGAATTCTCCCTGATCAGTTTCCCTTTTTATTAGTTTCTTTAATTCTTACTTCCATTGGCTTCCCAATATGTTGATAAAACAAACTTTCCTCAATCCTTCTATTTCATCTGTGCTCCTATTTCTCTCTGTCTTTAAGCTTATCAGTGTTCTAACTTTCCTAGATATGCTCCTTCAACAAATGAGTTGAGCTTCTGTTATGTCCTATTGTGCTAGTTGGGAATATGGACAAATTTGGTCCCTAACTTCAGGGAGCTAACATTCCAACTGGGGAGACAGACACATTCGCACACCTTATGTGTACTAGCAGTTGTATACCTAAGATACTACGCATGCAAAACTGATTTACAAAAGAAGAGAGGACAAGCAAGCTAGAATTCATAAAGAATGACTAGAAGTTAACGGTGCAGTAAAGAAGAGTAGGTCTTCTATGAAAGAAAACCTACATCAGGACATGCAGCAATTATAGAGCAAGACTTGTCCACAGAGAAATTGCAGCAGATTCACTATGACCACTAAAGTCACCGTCAGTCTCCTGGGAATCTCTTGTGTCTCATTCCTCTCATTCATTTCCAGTAGAGCTTGCTCTCGGTCTTTGTTCTGCAATCTCTTTTCACCAGTCATATTTAATCTCACTCTTGAATATTTGCTAGGACCTTCAAACTGGACTCCCCATCTACAGTATTTTCCTTGCTCCGAACCAGGCTTTCCGTTTATGGCCAAATTAATCTTCTTAAATGACGACGTTCAGTGGGTGATGACTGACTTTTTCAAGAGTCTGAACTACTTAGTCTGTCAATTCAAAATGTCCACAGTCTGGCTCTGGCTTCCACTTCCAGATTTATCTCCTGCAACTCCAGAATTTCCCTACAGTTTCTCAAAAGATGCCTTATGCTTTCCCACCTGCTCATCTTGGCTCTTAATCTTCCCTCTGCCTGGGATGCCCTCCCATCTCGTGGCTGTACTTCAACATATACTCCTGTATATTTAAAGCAGAGATTGACAATTTATATATGAATATTCAAAGAGCTGAGATCTCATTCTCTCATGAGCTGATTTAACAGCATTTTCCAGATTCATTTTGATCAAAACCTATTAACAATGTGTAGAACTTTGTACAAGCTGCACCCCTTGGAAAACAATGGAATAATTAAATGTGCTGTAGACCTTGTAAGACTGCTTTGTTGCATAATGTTGAAATTCTTTTATCTAAAGATTTATTTTAGCCTAACATTTTGACAATAGCTTGAATTTTCAGCGAAGCTGAGTTTACAATTTCCCTTTTAAATGAAACTGAATTTTATATACAGAAAGAGGAAGTATTCACTAAAGTAAAACATGCAAAAAAATTTTTTTTCTTAAAATTCCAAAGCTAAATATGTCTATTTGGTTCTTGCTTCAGTAAGGGCTCTTCTTGATTGTGATGATGATTATAATGATAGTGGTGAGGATTTGGCTGAGAATATTTTTTGGCCTGAGTAATATGAATAGCTTCTATAATTTTATTTTCCATGTGGATTCAGAAAAATATCTGTCCTCTTCTGTTGAACTTCCAACAGTATGGTCTTTTTGGTATACTTTGAAGTGAATCTAAATTCACAGGAGATAAATTGTTACTCATTAATAGAATGGCTTGGAACTAGAAGTAAGGTAATCTGAATTTTTATGATTACCTAGGCTTCTTCAGTTGAATAAGTGATTTCTAAAGCTTTTATATTGTCTTGTATCCAAATAGCAATATCATGTGGTATTTTATTACAAAGATTATATTATTCAGAGATGTGTTATAATTCTAGAGAAGTAAGTCAATATATGACTTTAAAGAATGAAGTAAAATAGCCTGATGCATAGCTTTAATTTAATTCCATTGGACATTTAATATTATTTTTTTTATAATTTGATAAAAAATTAAGCTACTTTTCTTAGGTGAGGTGCCTGGGTGGCTCATTCAGTTAAACATTTGACTTTGGCTCGGGTCATGATCTTGTGGTCTGTGAGTTCAAGCCCTGAGTCAGGCTTTGTGCTGACAGCTCAGAGCCCGTAGCCTGCTTCAGATTCTGTGTCTCCCTCTCTGTCTGCCCCTTGCCCACTGGTGCTCTGTCTCTCTTTCAAAAATAAATGAACATTAAACCAATTTTTTAAAGATACTTTTCTTAGGTAGTTGGTAGGAAAATATAGCTTATCAGTAAAAAAAAAAAACTGAATTTTTTATATTTATTCAATAAGAGGAAAAACAAATTTCTAGCTTTGACAACCTAACTCTAAATATAACTCACATTTTTGGAAATAACTCCATTGTTTTAACTATTGCCTTGAACTTCTTATGATTCTATGTAAATGTTGAGCATTACCACTAAAGCAGTTGGAATGTATATACAAATTATAGTCACTTAGATAAAGATAGCAGTGTAATTATTAATATAGCTAACATGTTAATAATGACTAATTCATTGTGAGACTATCTACAAGTCATAATTCTATTCTCGAGACAGCCACAAGTGTATAATACTG